CAAATGCCCCCGTTGTAGATTGGATGTGATACCTGATCCTACCTGATTCTAGCTTCAAGAAGCTGCACCGTGCTTCCGACACTTCGGAGCCCTTTACATTTCAAACGCTGCGCAGCCCTTTCCACTGCCCAGTTGTGGCCAGGCTTCAGAGCCGCTTGTTCTCAAAGATGGCCGTGACACCAAATGAGGAGGAAACCCTCAGCGGAACGATGGTGGCAGTCCATGCCGGGCCCAATAGCGGTGTGGTGTTGGAGTGTTGGATCGGTTGTGGCTTGGAGGATCTATCAACCTGGAAGTGGGATGAACCATGATGAGACTCGGTTTGTAGGGCTTCGTGCTTTACGTTTCCCACCCAAAGGCAGGTGATCCAAACTTCTATTGTTGTCTTTCACTTCTGTAACTCGGCTCTTGGTGATGGGCACCCCTCAACCCCTTTCAACCCGCTAAAAGGTCACCAACTATGTTTGCCTCCCAAGATCACTGATGGCTGATGGCTCAGCTTGAGTTTTGTCCAGGCTGGTCAAGCAGCTTTTTCAGGACAAGAAGGCCCTACCATTTGGGACCAATGCCTGCACCGCTACCAGGAGCAAAGAAGCTACTAGGGGCTCCTGGGAGAGCGTTTCGTCAACGGATCTCCTGCGGTGGCTCTGTGCCTACTGCATGCTGGTGGGTTGGTCGCATCCGATTTACATGGCCCAATCCATTGGATGACATTGATCAAATCATCGCCCAGGATTTGGGACCTTGGCTGGCATACAGGCCATTCTTTCCCATTCCAAAAAAGCCCTCTGAGTGTCCCGACGAAAAAAAAACACTGTCTTCTCTCAGGAGATCTTCCACTTTCTGTGTTGAAAGGCCCGTCAAATCACTCATTTCAGTTCGCAGGAGCCCACTCTCTCGTGTCCAGCGCTTCATATCCTGGACATACCTCGTGTCAGACAGTCATCTCACGACGTCGTGTCTTTGACGAACATCCATCACGTCTGCGCCAGGCGCCATCCATCACGTCTTCCCAGCTGCATGTTGATAGTATCAGAGGTAAGGACTGTTGCTCGGTGGATGGATGGCAACTGCGTGTCTGGATGGATGCCTTTCCGATCTTGCAGGTGTGGGACAAGCACAACCAGGCATCCACCAGGCCCGTGTTTGGCATTGGGGGGCCTGCTACGAGTTTAAGGAGTCCACAAAAAGGAGGATGGCTCACACCAAAATTCATGTGTAATTTATCGCAGTCCAAAAAACCACAGGCTCCACTACAAATTAGTGATGTAATCCGAAGTTTTACACCAACATTCGGCTGTCATAACATCGTCAGTGGTGTCATCTTAGCCCCCGCATCCAATCATCAGTTTTAGACCATTATGCACCAATTGTCTCATGAGAATTTCTCAGGGCCGCGAAGATTGTAACTTCTTTTCTGTCTATATAGAGCGAAAACCCAAGTATGGGTTTCTCCTCATCAAGCGAAAGAAAACAAGTGCCAGTGTTTGGACATGTTGTGGGGACTTTGTCAGCTAGTTTTGAAAACACATCTTTAAGAAGATGCTAAAGAGATCCACACCCAATCTTTGCGCACTTTGAACACACAGGGCATCGACAAGCACACCCTACCCAGTTGTTTCCAGACTTATTTTGACAAAATGCATGTTGATCTTCCCCTGCTACAACCACAATTGCTGCAGAATCATTTATATATATATATATATCCTGCATCCAATGCCGTCAAAGGGGCTGCTGCTCGAGCTCAAACAAAAGTTGCCGGAACTGAGTCAACGAGGCATCAGCAAGCTTTGGGACAGCAGCGCCTGGAAGGTTCCAGCAATTGGAAGCAAATCCAGAACCTTTTCCTGGGTCTTTCTGTTCCAACACTCCATCTTGCTGAAAAAAACGACCAAATGAGATGCACCAAGAGCGTTTGACTGTCTTTCACAACATCACTGAGTGGAATCCAAAAACTCGAAACTTGAGCCAGAGCACATACTCACCTGGCAAAAGTTCTATGTGCATACTCGTCATTCTTAGGTCCCTTCACAGTGATGACTCATGATACAGCAAATCACCATGATGCGCTTTCCACTATGATCCATCGAAGTACCAAAAATGGAACCAAAACAAACATAGGAAATTCAGAAGGAAGGAAAGAAGGAACGCCCCAAACCGCTGAGTTCGGCAGTCAACGGGCAATTGGCGTGGTTACGGTAGCAAGTACATAAACCAGCAACACAGTTTACAATATGTTCTGAAATGTTCAGAGATTTATCATAGCTGCCACATTGCAGAACAGTGGTTCTCAACAAAAGCTGGAGGTGAAGGGGTGCTTTGGTCATTATAGGACCAAGACAAAACACATCTGACAAACATGGGTTAACCTTCTCTTTCTGTTGATTTCCAACATCGACCCACGCTCTCCCAAGTGTGCATCCTCGTCCCAGGTTGTCTGGCTCTCTTGAGGTGCTCCGGCCTGGCGGTTGTGGTGGTTTAGTGGCCAAGACTTAAGAGGAGTTGGCCTCCAGTCTACGGGAATCTTAGCTGGGATGAGTTAGGTTTGTTTTCAAGATTATACAAAACAGCAGTCCGCAGAATGAGATCGAACATTGGTAAATTGCAGGGAACCTACTGCGATCTCTGCTTTTGCCAAACATCCCAGGATGAAGAGGTTTCACGAAATAAATGCGTGAATTACTATGCTTTCCTCAACGCAGCCCTTGAGAAGGTTCGCAGCTTCACATGTAATCGCAGTATATACTTGGAAAAGTAGAAGCGTTCTGTTTCCGTGCTTTTCCGCTGACATGATTTCACCCGGTCATTTCTAGACCTCACTCCAGTATCTTCAAAAAGGTTCCTCGTGCAAAACCACTCCACCCGGCTTGATGGATCCCTGCCTATGACATCTTCACCTCACAGCCCGCACTCTAGCCAGCTGAAAACATCTGGATAAGAAAGGCATAAAAGTCCTTTGAACGGCACGAGACATCTTGTGCAGAAAGAGATCAAAAAAAAGAGTGGCCAACTCAGCCTGGGCACCCAAGTGCAGCTGCGTTGGCCTTGGCTCCTCCCCAAGCTGTGCAGATCCCTCTGCCATGGCAACTTGAGGAGTATTCATTGCTGGTTCCGAAGTGCCTGTAGGCTTCCATGCAACCAACCTTGTTCCAAGGAACAAACCATCTTTATGAAGAGGTCACAAGCTAAGAAAGCCTAAACCACCTACTGAAGCAATGAAATTAATTAATCACATTAGATCATTAGATGTAGATGTGGCAGGGAATAATTCAGAATAAAGCAAAGCAACATCGACACAATCTGTTGCTCTCTACAGGACAGTAATCCAGCATCGCACTTCCAACTAGACTTACAAGCCAAACGAGTTCACTCAACGGCTGCGGAGATGGAGAATTATCCGAATTATCCTGACATGCGACACTGACCGTGATAATATGACTGAAACTGTAAAACATAATGAAACAGTCACGTCATTTGGGATACTTGGCAAGGGCAATCCCTGGCGCCAACAAGCTCAAGAAACTTGATTCGATGGGAACCAACCTCCACAGTGTTGCCCGATGCGTTGATTGGATCAAAAATGCAGGCCAAGCCCAGTATCACCGCGAAACACATAAATCTTTAGATGTCAAATGATATTTGTCCTGAGTCCTGACCTGTCAGGAGAATCGGGGGGCAGGGATGGTTTGACAGAGATTCGTTGCCAGGATCCGAGTTCCAACATCCTCAAGGACTATCAGTGTCCCAAGCTGACCCCAACGAAGGTCTCATGCTATCTCATGCTATCTCTCGCTGTCACGCCAGGCCGTTAGGTTGATGCTGTGGGCTACTAGGTCAAGCAGGGCTTTCGACAGCAAACGTTTCAAACGAATCGTAGTTTTCTGTAGAGGAAGCCCTGATCTGTAATGATTGGAAGTTGCGTACGTCAGCATTCGGGTAGGGTCCCAACAAGACATCCGCGCCGTCATCGAGTTGGAAGCTCACAATGCGTGATCGGATCTCCTGGCCAATGAATGGAAAAAGCAATTCTCTGATCTGAGGCTGCCGTGTTCAGAGATCTCTGTTCTGCTATGTGTTGCAAAATGGCCAAGTGAATGTTAATTACATTGTTTGTTGCATTCTTTGTCCAAAGTCGGACAATAATGACACGCATAGTGCAAAGCATAGGAAGACCAACTTGATGCTGTGCAGGTCATTCACAACAGCATGAATCTGAACGAGGGCCTCAATCTTTGATCCAGTTACCTTAGCCTTGAGTTGAAGAAATCACCCAAAACACAGCCTTCTGAAAGTATATACCCAGGGCCGTATGATCTTCATAGCCGGCATCCCCATGTTTCATAGACAATTCTACGTAAGAATTCCAGGGTTGTTTTCTCAAACCCAGATCGGTTCCCCTTCCTAGAATTCTGCACCATTCAAACTTGTAGCTTATAAACCTGAGTCGAACATGATCCACAAAGAAAAGACACCTACCCAGCCAAGTACCTGCCATTGAAGAATAATCACCTTTTAGCTGTCTGGCAGAAACCCGATCGAGCCGAAGAACGTGTTAGTTAACAAACATGCAGAAAGCCACCTCTCTGTGCAGAAATTACGGAAATTACAGTAGACAGTAGACATATTTCCTTCCGCCAATGAATGTAGTCTCTCAGTGTTTGTTCACACAAACTTCGGATACCTTTGATTATCATGTTTTGGATGTTGAAGAACTGCGATCATGCTCAGAAAGAGGTTCCAACCCCGAGATGGGCAAGAACACCACCAGTGTAGTGCAACATGTCTGTCCCCTTCTCTTGGCCACCAAACTTCCCAGCTAGGAAGGGGGCTCTTTCAACTAGAGATCATGTTCCAGCTTTAAGGCATGCCTTGAAAAGCATTCGACAAGAATGCCTATAGAAAAAAACAATTGTTCCCGGAAAACTAATGCGCGATACTGAAGAAACTTGTGCGTCCATGCTTTTGAGATCTGCAAGTTGAACGTCATGGCCCAGTGACCAGTCAGAATTTCTGCCCTCAACGGAAAGGCCTCTTCTAATTCACTGTCGGCCTGGGCGTCTGGAGATGGGTGAGCTCTTTACATCTCAAAACCGCCAATGAACCCCTGGGTTCAACATCTACTATGACAAAAAATGGCTGCTTCGCAGTCCTTGCAACTTGACAGTCTTCCGCACGCGTTTCACCTAGTTCAGCAGTTCAACGCGATCTAAATTCCATCGAATTCCGTTGGTGCGCCTTTGGCCGTTGGCGCGGGCATGGTTCCATGTTCGTTCCTCTCGATCCCAGGACGCTCCGAAAAAGAGGCTCTAAGCAAACATCGAGTTTCACCGCTGACCGACCGAGCCGACCGAGAAATTTCTGAGCATTCTGACCCAGACCGGTGGGCGCCCAGTCAGAAGCTGGTAGAGTAAACACCTGGGACTCTGGTGGCCGGCTAAACCGGTGGGGCCCGGCTTCCAGACGGCCCGGTTTGGCAGCTAGAAGCCTGGTTTGGAAGAAGTATCCCAGAAACGGCCCCAAGCAGGTTTGTGGCGAACATTTTGATCATCAACCCTTGATGTAAAGAACTGTGACACCTCTTCTGAACCCTCCAAAAAAAGCTCAAGCTGGAGCTCTGTTGGTCTCACTGTTTCCAACCCTGCTTATTTATAACTGAAGCGACAGGCTACTTTTGTATCAAGTACCACAGCCTCAACTCGAGTGCCTGGAAAACCATTTGGCTGCGGACCTCAGTATGGAACCAGTATACCAGTAGTAGAACCCTCATGCTTGATGAACTGCAACGTTGGAGCCCGAAACCCTCTGACCGGCCCCCCTTGCAGGAGTTGAGAAAGCTACCCGGTCGTTCGCAACAACGACCCACCAACGAGCTTGGGCCCAAGGCACCCTAGCGCCCAGGCGTCTGAGGCGAAGCTTGGAGTGCCACCTTTCACCACCTCTTCCAGGCGTCTTCCGCGGACGACTATGGACTGGTCGCAGTCTCTTCTAGTCTCGACCGGTCGCATGTGTGCGACCTATTCCAACCTGAAACGATTAATATTCAATACTCGCGCGGGACTCGGGGGTAGTATCACTACGGTATCTTCGTATATTCCTGGGGATCACTTTGAAGCAACAACCCCCGTGGGACTCGATGTATCCCGCATGCTCCTCTACAAGTTCAGCCATTCCAAGGTTTGAGGGGATCAAATGCTCTTTGTTGTATTGAAAATGCCTGTTGCACATGTTATTTTGGTTCTGCAACTTAAAAGGGTCACCGGCATCCCTCTTGTTTTGGACCAGATTGCTGCTCGCCTCAGGTGGCAGGTAGATCATGGTGCCTTCCACGCGGCCGTCGTCAATGATCTCCTCCTCACACCTCATGAGACGCCCGGAAAACCTGGAGTTACAGCTGGATGCCCGATGGAACAGATTTCTGCCGAAGGCCGGCAAACCTTCCTGGGCCGGCCTTCCCATCCGTTTCGACCTGAGGAGTGTCATGGGTGTGTATTTAGAATAGGGAGACCCTCTACTCCACCCATGGGTTTTTGATGGTTTTTGTCTATGTCCCTTCTTCCAGGGGGTCTTTGAGAGATCTCCCCTATAAAAACATTTTAATACACACCCATATCTGTCGCTTCGTCGCACTTCGGGCGTCTGCAACAACCTGAGCCTCCAACTCCGAGAGCTGCACTTCTGGGGCGTCCTGGGAAGGTCGCCGAGCCGAGGCTACAACGCACAAATCCACTGCTTCATGACGTCCTGGACTGGTCTGACCCCGCAAAAAGAACACAGGCTGGCCACAGGCTGGGTAGCTGTATCCACGTATGGGTGGGCCCACAGAATCATCTGACTTGAAGGTTCTCTCCTCCAGCCCCGAACTCGACAGTCCACGTGTCTGCCTTCTGGCGATGTGTTCCGAAACATCCCTGAAACACTCGTGACACAGTGGAAACTCAAAACAACGAGATCCGAGGCCAGATTCCAAAAACATATTTGCAGGTTCCCCCCTTTTGTACTGAAGTTACGGCTTGGACCCTGCGACCACAAACTTTAGACGGTGCTCCAAAAAAAAAAGCATCCAACACACATTAAACATAGATTTAGAACATTGACGAACATGGAATAATCATGAATAATCCATAATCATCCTACAAACAAGAAGGTAAGGTTGATCTTCTTCGCCCAGCTTCGCCCAGCTTCGCTCTGCTTCGCTCTGCTTCGCTCCTCCGCGCGCCAGTCCCCATCTCTCAAGCGCTTCAGCAAGGCGCGACGGCAATTCGTCGCCGCCTGAGCGAGCTGCCCGAGGCTTCGTGGGACTAAAGACAAGCGGATTTGGGACATGGAGGACATCCCACCATGCTAATCCATGCTACCATATAATTCATAACCATGGACCATAACCATAACAACAAACATCTCATTGTCACCTCACATCAGGTTTTCCTGTGCCATCCAAAGCACACCAAGAAATCATAATCTAAGATCGTCCAAGTGCTGAAGCTTCAAATGCTTGGTGTGGCTCTCCACCCTCTGCAAGATTTTGACCTCGCAATGTCACTGTCTATTGAGTCTATTGCATACACAAATTAGGCAATTTGGCGGTTGTTGTAACAATTCATGTTCACGCACTCATCTACCCGAAAAAGAAAACAAACACCCAACTTACCTCCTTTCATCTCCTATACACTTCGATCACTACCCAACTTAGCCATCACGTTACAAGCTCGCTTACGCACCCACTCTTAACCCACCCGGCTGATGGACCCGGAGCAACACTTCGTCACCGGGGGCGCGCGCGCCTCGTCGGTGACCGGCCGGCAGCCGCCGAAGTCGGTGAGCTTCGCGTGGTTCGAGGAGGTGATCTCGGCACCGAGTCCGAAGAGCAAATCCACGTGCTTTCTTCGGAGAAAAATACGATGAAACACGACATGTGGTGACCCTATTCCATGGGGGTGATCCATGGTGCTGTAGTCCCATCCCCACCCTTCACCCTAATGGATCGCCCTACACGAAGTCGAATGGATTTCCAAGAGTCGAACACCGTGTTCTTCGTCACGCGGCAAAAAACAGGACTCGGTGGGTGAAGGAAAATGGCCTCAAAACAGGACTCAGTTCACTCCGCCTCGAAACTGTTTAGGATGTTTTGAACGATTTCTTGGGAGCTCTCGCTGTCTCAGCCCCTGGCCACAACATTTTCGGGCTTCAGATCGCTGTACACGAAGCCTACGACGAGTATACCGACGATACGTACGGGACCCATGGCTTCATCCACGACCTGACGAGTTACAATTGCAAAGCTCAAAAGACATTGTGACATGTACCAAGGCCCAAGTCAACACTTGCTCTGCACAAAAGAAACCTGTCAAGTTCTGCCAATTTCTGTCAGGACTTGAAGCTCGTCTGAGGACTCCAAAGGAACGTGCACTGGCCTGTGTCATGAATGGCACACAACGCTGCAATGACTTCACCTACAAAGAATTTGGCCACGTCCTGGATCGAGCTTTGCACACGTCTGAATAGTTTGGAGGCCCCCGTAGGTTAAAAAACATGAAATATATCCAATCACCGCACCGCCTACCTTTAATATGCTGCATACCGCCTACCACTGCTCCTCCTCCAGCTTTCCCAAGGAACAAAGCATGTTGTGCAGATCTCCCTTGTGGGCGTACCTTGATCGGATGGGATGGGAGGGCTTTTGCAATCGAATTGAACTTTTTGGGCGTGCCAAGCCTTGGCCAACAGTTTGGTCGGCTGTTGCACGGTGAAGGCAACCGGTTCTTTCAAACTGGGAGGTGACCGGAATTCGGCAAATCAACGAATCATAGATCCCCTGGTTTGGGCTGTCTACATCCTCAAACACATTCAAGAACTATCCCCTGTGCAATAACCGGTTAACGTTGAGCATGCCTTTTTTTCAATCGTATTTTGTAGTTATACATGGCTGGGTGCAACCTCTGGCAGGGGGTGCCTGCAACATAGAATGAAATGTTCAACTCTTAAAGCGAGGAAACAGTGTCTCTCTCGTTCAGAAAATGTTTTAAGGTTGAATAGCTTTCGGGAAACACATGGACACGTGTATTGCAGAATCTTGGAAAAAACTGTGCTTGGATACTGCCAATGGGTGGGCTCAGGTACTTTGCACCCCACACACCTGGTAAAAGCAAGAAGAAAAGAGTGCAACCGTTGGGAAGTTTCCAAGAATGCTAAGGAAGAGATCACTAAGTATGAGCAACCTCATCCAATACATATATATATAATATGTGTATCATATATACACATATATATATATGAATTTTATCACACCCTTAGCTTCTGCAAAACCTTGGGACGTTCTCTATGAAATGTTTAGCTCAACCTCTTGACATACTCATTTTAGTTGACACAACATGTTTAGGTAGGGTCGCAATCTCATTCTACCGAGTCAGTCTTTATAAAGCGATCCAACACAATGAGCTTGACCTCAATCATTTGGTACAGGTACAGGGCAGGGGATCAGAAACTAACATAAAGTCCAATAAATTGAGCACAGCTTTCCGCAGGTCGATCACCTTTTTGATCATCGCTTTCAGCTGAGGGTACTCCAAGACCAAATATGCTCCATCTCTGTAACGAAAGGCGGCCACCATGCGGGCGATGCCCTTGGCCGATGCATCGATGAAATGGGCAGCACGGGCCGGGTCATGGTCAAGCCATATAACTACATTCAAACTTTCAACCAAGAATACATTGGAAAACTAGTTTGCTGTAAAAACTTCAACTAGTTTATTCAAACCTTTTGCAGGTAAACGTTCAACTTTCAACCTTTAGTTAGATTTCTTCACAGAACAAACATCAAGAGACCATGAAGAGATCCACTAAGCCAGGCATTTTGACAGGGCTGGGATTGGTGATTCTTCTTGGGGGAAAGGGATTGGTGCTTTGAAAGTTGAAGATGTTCAATAGAAGGGATGTCTTCATCTGGCCAAAGTCCCTGGTCAAGCCATGTCCTCGTCCACTGGTTGACACCTTGATATGCACCAACACATACCGAAACCATCTGATTGATATCCAAATCTCTTATGATCCTGCAACCTCTTACATCCACTGCATCCTTGTAGATCATTTTCTTCTCCACCAGGATGGATGTTCGTGTTGGTGACCCCGTTTGAAAACACACCAGACTCTTGCATGTCGTTGTTGCTTCCCTACACCTCACGCACTCTTACATGCTTCTCTCTGTTTTCACATACTTATTCTCGAAACTGCAACACCACATCTCAGATTTTCCAGTTCAACCCCACAACCTCAAGAGGCCCTTGAGTACAGGCAGCCAACTGCACTCCTCTCAAGGAGAATCAATTCAATCAAACCCACAAACAACTACAATCAACCGAAACTACGAAAACTACAAAAAAAGTGACCCTCGCTCCTGCATTTTATGTCAAGTAGACAGATACACATCATGTATAATAGGCTACATAGGTCGACTCCTTCCATCTCCGGATCTCGCACTTCTCTCGGAATCGGGACCCCCGGCAGGATGGCTGAGCATCTTGAGGACGCAAATCTCTCGATTCACCGAGGCCTCGACGACGTCGATGCGACGGGAAAGGGGAGTCTAACAGAGCCCAGCATCTCCTGCGGCCTTGGAGAACGACCTTCAAAATAGGATGGATAATAGCTTTTTTGTTTGTAATAGCTTCTTGTTACTACTAGTAAGGCACTTGTTACTAGAAGCGATGCACTTGTTCCTAGTAGCTTATCTGATAGTGATCAGGATTCTCAACTGGAAAATGGGTGTGAAACGATAGGGAGATGTTCCGAGCACGTGTGTGCTGAAAAAGGCCCTGGGATTCCATGAAATTCCTTCTGAGGAGCAGTGCTTATGCAGCTCAACACAGCTCACTACAGCTCAGTTCCGAACCTCGTAGCCCAGATCCTCCATGGTCTTGGTGTTAATCACCTAGACATGATGTATGTGCATTTGCACACTGCATTGCCCGGTCCATGGTGTTAAACATGCTTGAAACGAAATTTGTCACTTGCCCATACCTGCCCCTAAGATCTGGAACAGGGGAGTTGCAAGCAGTTCGGATGTTTTGGCAGGACTCCTGTGTGGCACTCCTGTCAGGATGCCTTAGGATCCCTGGAGAATACGTAGGTAGAATAGATGGTCCGCAAGCCAAATCCCACGATCCGGGACGAAGAAACTCAGTCATCAGCAGGATCCATGGCCTCTTTCGATGGGCATGAAAGAAGTACGTACCGATCTTCAGGTCTTTGGAGCTCCATCGACACAGACAGCATTGGCGAAGCCGAGAGCTGGTCAAAACGGACACGAACAAAAGACCTGTACAGCAACCCCTGGGAAAAGGCAAAGGGGCAATTTAAGACTTTGCTCCTAGTAGCTTCATATACACAAACATACACCGTGCGCATCCGTATGCTATGACACCATGACACCATGTCCTTTCAGGAGCTCACTCTGATGGCAGCCTGTGTGAAGCAACGCAGGAAAGACCCAGTCCCCTCGTTCAGAAGCGGAGTCCACCTTCACCGCATACTCAGGCCACTTGGACTGTGTCTTCTCCTCAAGGCAGCTGTCAAGATGTCAAACCAAATGCGGCGGACTGCCACAACAAACTAATGAATATGATGACTGATGCTACTGTAGATTTGGATAGAATATCCTGCATAAGACTAGACCTCTCCCGCAAGCTGCTCCTTTTCAGGGTGCATCTTTGTTTTGGCATGCCTTGGGGATGCCTTGGGCACGAATGCCTGGTCTACCTCCTTCTCACGAGAATGCTGAATCCGTACCAGCTCTTCTATTTCACTTGTGATTTGGGTGTGGTTCTAGTGCTACTCACTTCAAGCCCTAGCAAGCAAAATGGGTCAGTCTAATACCTCAACAACTTGGCCGTTGGGAGGATCGAGTCATCATAACCCATTTGAATTCTTGTTTCTAAGAGCGTCCTTTGCTCCTAGTAGCGATGCCAGGAGCCCCTAGTAGCGAACATTGTTCATAACCCACCCTCATCCTTCCCTTCTAGATGCGCCTTTTGGATGGTACGTGCATATCGCACCACGCTAAACGCACCGTGACCTGCAGATCGGGCACCGTTTCGAGCCCGAGCCATGATCCAGCAATATTCAAGGATACATATATTGCTTAAATGAACACATTCTTGGAAAAAAGCTTCTTGCAAATACATTCTGGCTCGCAGAGTGTTTGTCTCTTAGCGCGCTTTGCGCGCCTTGGACATGCAATCGAAAGAAGAGATGGGCCAACAATGGCACACATCGCTCTAGTCTAGCATTGATCTAAGGGAGCTAGATTAGCTTGTTTTCTGGAGTTTGCAATTGCAGTCTACGTCTATAAGGACCAACTGTAGCATGATCTAGCTCAGATACAGAACACCAGTTTGATGAAGGTTGGTTCACTCAGCTTCCAAATCATGGGCTGCCATACCTATATCCTCTGGACCGAAGACAAGGTTGTGGAACCTTAGTCGACAATCTTCAAGCATACAATTGAAACATATAGAGTAGATTGATCAAACATCCTTCTTCAGGTTGGCGCGAACCACACCTTCCCAAAGCAACGATTGTAGCATGGCTTCACGTGGCGTTGTGCTGGATTATTGCTTGTGTCTCATGCAGAATCACCGGACGAGGTTTATACTCGGATACACTATTGTAACTAACAACTTCACCAAACCCCCCGAGCTGAGGCTGAAGACTTCAGTGAGGGCAGCAGGGTAGGAGTCTCTTCCATCAAGGCGGTCTGATCAAGTCACATCACATTTGCATGTATTGAGAGTGTGTGTTTTGTCAAGACAAACATAAACAACACATGAAACAACCCGTAGACTTGCACACACTTCGTTTTGAGTGCCTCACTAGACGGAAATAGTGAGTTCAATAATGATTCTGAAAAATTTTCGGTACAGGGAGTGACGATGGGCTGAGTGGACTGCTGAGTGATGATGAGCTGGCATGCTGAATCTGCTGAAGGTAACGCGCTAGTTCGCCCGAAAACACACAAGTTGACTGTATTTGACCCAGGGCCATTGGTTCCTTTCACAGCTCCATTCCGAGCCATATGCGGAGCCATGCACTCCGCGCCTCCCAGCTATTTGGTCCTTCGATGGGCTTCACTGGCACCAAAAGCTTCATGTACCTTAGTGTCGAGTGGAGCGATTAGCAGGTGGAGCGATTCTGACATGTACTCAACTATGAATTCTAATACTGTCTATGGGCTTTATTCATTCTAACATGCGATCAGTTCTGCCTTCACCAGCTTCTTCCGGTTCTGACATGATTCACCAGATGCTCTCGAGTCCAACATGGTGTACGAAGGCCCCATGTCTGTCCAAGCTGCATGTGCACGCGCTCGAGACCACTTTTCGGCGCCTCCTCCTCCTTGGCACCATGCCACATCGTGGTGTATCGGCAGTTGCGCCAGCGTAGGCAGTGCTGGGCGAATGGGGACAACATTGGGAGAACTACTCTCAAATTTAGTTTCCAACCCGGTTGGAACTTCATCTATGCTTCCAACTCCGACTGCATGATGGTTTGTACCAACCCAAGTACCCACGTTCTCCCAATTGGTCATATTATCCCTACATATCCATACATGTTCAGGACGTGCTTCAATACCCTTTATAAGAACTCCTAAAAAATTATGAAGTTGTTTACACTCATCAGTGCAGTCATGCCAATCACGTCATAAGCTCACCGTGCCCAGCAGCTGAATGATCAAACGAGCAGCTTCCCGCAAACTTCCCAAGGAGCCAGATTCTGGTGCCTTTGGCGGTGCAGGTGTCTCCTGCGTGGCCAAGACTCAGGACTACAAGGCAACCGTTGGGATCCAATACCCGTCAATACCCAATACCCAGCAAACATCTGCAACACATATGTTGTTGAATTGTCTGACAAGTGGTTTATGCCTGATGGAACACTCACACGCAACTTGTTTCCAGGAGTCCTGAGCCCCCGGTTCAATATGTTCTATGGGCTCTTCTAGGGCTGAAGTAAAGGACACATGCACCAAAAACAGTACAAACACGAAACCACCCCTTCCACTGGTGTCCTTCTTGAATGCCCAAGGAGCCACACCAGTGACAGTGACGGGAGGCTGCGCACCATTTCCACCCTGCGGAGCCGCTGTCACATGCCACGTCTCTGAACCCCACTGTTACTTGCAAATTGCGAAGTTCTTGTCCCAACACACAGACTACCTATCAAAGACTCCAAGACCCTCGAGGCAGGCAAAAAAGTCAAAAAATAACACGTACCAAAGTGGCTGAAGCGACTTTTATATGCCTCGAATGACCGAGCATTGTCCTGTGCAACGAATTAAACTCTGATGAATCGGGCCAACCAAGCACAAGCCGGAAGACTGGCTGAGTTTCGAAAGCTACCGTCTTGATCGTCTTATTTAGGACAATGAATAGTCTGTCCTTGTGAATCCTGCGCCATAAAATGATCTGGAAGCTTCCGAATCCGTCCTATAGTTGTGAGCAACCTCTATTCTGATTCATGTCGATCACAAACACGAAACCCCACCCTCCGCCCCCCAAAAAACATATTTTTGGTTGGTCCATGTTGCTCCACTTTTCTGTCGGGGACCACGGCATCCCCGGCAAAAAAACACCTTGAAGGCCCATGGCGCCACACCTGGCAGTTGCACCGCTCAAAATGGAACCTCGAACCTCAATGCTACTCAAAACAAACGCTTGACGAACGTGGACGGCCCAGCCACTTGAGTACCATTGCAGCTGCCTATCTCGTTGCTATGAATGGCTTTCAAAGCCAAAACTGTGTAGCCGCGTAACATGTTTAGCTTTATCCTCAAGGTCTAGGCATCCAATGAGCAGCTTCAACCAAGCAGTGTGTGGGGCCCGCTTCTCCTGGCTTCAAAGCGATGTCTCCCTTTTGGAACTGGCTTCTGGGTGTGATCAGCACGGCAATGGAGGGCCACAAAACAGCTACGGCGCCCATGTGGACGGCGTGGAATCGAGTCGGCCGCCTGTTGCTGTCAGTGGAGGCTGCTTTCCACCTGCGATGCTGGAGACCATCCATGTCGCAAAAGGAACCATTTGGTCCAGCGGCTCGACATGACCCTTAGCAACACATGTGGAGAATAGCCAAACCCTCATGATGTATGTGCGAAACCCGGACGAAGCAACTACAGGAAACATGCGGAATACGCTACGTTGCCCTATCAACTTCTCTCGACTGATGCTTCTCGCCAAAGTTCCAAAGCAAAACCATGGATTAAACAATATATTATCTGTCACCCTTGGCATGTTGGTGGTTTTCATGGTCTCTTAGTTTGCTACTATGTTGGAGGCGCTCTATCTCGCCTCCTTGACCGGGCTTCCAAGTTCCAGCACCAAACCTGCCGGATGTCATCAATTGTGCTTGGTTCTCTGAGGGTTTGCCAAAGCAGAATCCTGCATTGGTTTGCACTGCAAGGCAGTTGGTATGCCATGTCTTAGTTGGTTCTCTTTGCCAAAGAACACTATTATGTTATATATGAATATATATATATATATGATATGAGCCTATATAAAATATTACAATATATATTATATATACTAAGATATAGAAGTGACATACTCAGTTTGCTGATCGACAGGTCAGAACGACAGGCAGCATTTGTTCAATGATTCAAGGTTGATTCATCATTGCCAAGAGGTACTTGAAACCTTCCAGTTTTTGCAGCTTTGCCATGAAGGTCGTCACATGTGGATGTGGTCACAATGTGTGGCGATCCAAGAAAAACACCATTGTTTGCGGCCCACTACGCCTTCAGAGAACTCCAGCCTAGCTTTACTTGACACCGCTCACTTGAGCAGTGTGGATCCATGGATCCATGTGGATCATGCACTGATGTGGACCACTGGAGACATTTACAGCATCCACTGGAGACGTCCTTGTGGTTGGTCAATCCGAAACAATCTTGGTTTTTCAAGGGTCTCGCAATGGAGCCTCCTTGTTTCTTCACACTGCGACACACGAGAGTTCCATGAATCATGTCCCAAGGTCAGATTCTTGACATCATTCCTGACCGTTTTCTGGGGCCATCGGCTTGAGTGAGGTGATGTTCGAGGGCAGCGATGGCGGTGCCGGCGGCCCTGCGGTGTTGAGGTCAATCGGGGATCTGGTCACGAACGCATATGAACACCTATCATCCTAGTGGTTTTGAAGCAAACTTCCTGAGAGGAGTTTTACGTTTTGCTGCCCTTTCAGTTCTATCACTAGCGAAGCGAATTGCTCATCTCTCGCTTCAAACCCTATTGATCATGACGATGACGGACGAACGTCAATCACCACGATCAAACTCCACTGACCAAACATTATATAGGTCCTATTAAAATCCTCCAGCATCTCAACTGTGGGTGCATCTTCGAATCTCCACATATCAAAGTTAAACGACCATGACGAACATATACTATACGCACATGGCCGTACTACTAGGAGCAAGGACGCTACTAGAACCTCCTGGCATCGCTACTAGGAGCAAGGACGCTACTAGGGGCTGCTGGCCTTACTACTAGGAGCAAGAAGCTACTAGGACCACACACGATCTGCGAAACACAAAACACCCCATTTTCTCCAGCCGTTGCCCGACTCGGCCTTTCGGCTCCCGTGGTGCTGGCTCGACCGGTGCGACGGCCTGGAGGCCGACGTGAGACCTACAGACCTCCACTGAGAGAGGAAATTGAACAGCAACAGGTCGAAATATGGAACGCCAAGATGCCTAACTTGAACTGTCTGTTCTCTATAGGTACAGACCGACAGAGGCTGCTTTTGAACACATGTCCCGCAGAGTCAACTGATGTATCATGCTAATGAACCCAGGGTGCTAGGATGGATCATCCTTCAGGTGGAAAAACGAACCCCCGGCGCGACCCTTCGCTGGAGTATAAGACTACTAGGTGTGAGATTCCTTCCTTCGTGTTTGAGATGGGATCAACCAGGATGTGGTAAGAAAACTGAATCTGAAGATGTCTCATCCTCATGAAATGCAGTTTCTTTAGAGAACAACAATGAACTTCAGGATCTCTTGGTTCTTCAGGTCCTGAAAGTAAGGCTCGAGATCTGTGAACATGTTGAGTCATATCTCCCTCAAGCGCTCCAACTCGCATTGGGCCGAAGCAAATGTCACTTGGATGTCGCCAATTGTCAGCTTCACCCAAGCCCTATGAGGTCTCATGCATCTACTACGACGGGTATCCAACGTCAGGTGTCCACCTGAAAGGTTTCTGCAAATTCTTCGTGAACCGAAGCCAACTAGTAGCAAGGACGCTACTAGTAGCTCCTAGAAGCTATTAGGTTGGAGGCAACTCCCACTAGTCACTAGTAGCTCCTGGGTGCATTTCTGAGGTCCACTAAAATAGGAGCCCCAACTTGAACCCAACCGAGCTTGGTGTAAGGATCCTTGTAGCTGCTGCTCTTGATCCAACTAGTCTCAAAGCATCAAATCATGACAAGGAAGGCTGTGTTGGAGGTCCATTGAATAAGACTATCATCTATAATTTATATAATCTCCCAACTTGGAAATCAACTGGTTGTGGGAGCCGTGGGGCAGCTTGTGGACAAACTGAAAATTGTGGGGACCATCATTGTTCTATGTAGGAAACCTGAGAAGAAAACAAAACAACTCCAGCCATCCAGCTCAGCGCACTGCTCCAAACGAATGTCTGCCATGTCCTCTCGTGTGGTCACCGGAAGGGCCGCGAGGTCCCCCTCCGCCTCAAAGGCTGGCACCGCTTTGCCTTCGCCCCAAAGCTGCTCCGCCCAGCTCTCGAAGAGCTGCGTGGGGAGAACATGGAGGTTCCGGAAAGATTCGATGTGAGGCGGGTGCTTGGAACATCGGGTGCTTCGAACGGAGAATGGACTGAGTTCCAAAGTAGTTTCTGAGCCCATGAGCTGGAATGTCCACTTTCTCTCTAAGTAAAGTGTACGACGTGTACGATCACCTTCACAAGCTCGGGTGTCTTTTTGTCGCAAGCTCCGCCCACAAGAGGTGGTAGATCGATGGCTGGCCAGTCTGCAGGAACAGCCTTGACAGGAACAGTCTTGTCTGGCCAATCATTTGAATCCCAGTGTGATTTGCAGATGGACGTCGGAAGCGTCTTAGAATCATTGAATAGCTGGTATACGATGTATACGGCTCTGGATGTATCCTTCTGAATACTATAGATTCGCACATGTCGCGGAAAAAAGTACCTGAGTTAGAACTCAATGCCTCAAAGTAAGACGAAAGTGCGGCAAAGGGAATCCAGGAGACACCCTTTTTCACTGGCCGAAATCCCAAAAGCTCTCTGCCCTTTCCCACCTGCAAATTCTGCGGCGCGTGGTATCCAAAAAGCTCGAATCGAGTACGGACCTTTCACGCGGCAACGCTTCTTCAGGATTTTAAGTCATAGACTGTCGTGAATGTCGTGCTGTATGGACGGAATCCTTCTTGCATCTTCTTACCGTAATCAAGCCAGACAACCAAGCGAACCACCTGATTTACGTGAGATTCTCTTTCTGAGGATGCCAACAGCCTCAATCAGCCTTGCAAGCCTCAGGCAAGGATGAAGAAGTGTGAAGGGCTGATCGTCCTGAAATGATATATCCAACCATCATAGAAAGACAATAGGTCATAGTCATAGGTCGCAGGGAGTTACAGGATAAATAATAGAATGATATAGAATGGTACATGTAAGGCTTGTACCGGCAAACAACTCGCACTCCGGGGGTGTTTTCAACCTGAGTCTAAAAAGTATAGCTTCTTCCCGGCTTTCTCAAGCATGCATGGAGGATTCCGAGTTGTTCCCGAAATTGGACGTTCCGTTTGAATGCCACCATATCCTAAGGAGCGGTGTTTGATTGGCCGGGATCTCAGGATGCTTTGTGCCAATGTTGTCCTGGTGATACCTGCAAGGACGCCCCTGTGCGCACACCTTTGCGTTGGCCAACGACACTGCGGCTGGGCCCCAGGCATTCTCGGCTCGAAGATCTGCCAGTGGGACGGGGAGAGGGAGTGATTTGGTGAAGAAACCACCCAGGTACATGAGAAACCCCCTCGCAAAGGCACACCAAAAACAAGAGTGCTTGGAAGTTGGAACAAGGATGATCACAAAATCAACCAAACCAGGTGTTTTCTGTTTTTTTCCTTCGGTGCTTGCTTTCGGGTCAAAGCCCATCACCAACCAGGCGTTCCAAAACAACTGAATTGAAGAAGACGAAGCGATTTGGCTCTGAATGACAAAACCGAGGGCAATATGACAATCATGAGCTTTTTTTCCTGGTCTATTATTCGTGGCCAACCTATGACACCTCGACAATTTGAATAAGCAAAAGCAGGATACAAATTCCATCAAATTCCTAAGCTCCAAAAGACAAAGCCCTAGCCCCAGCCTTGAAAAGCCCAGACACCACAAAACCAGCCACGTGGATTGCACCCAAACTGCACCTCTTCCACCGGTTGGGAGGATGACCTTCGCTTGGTCTGGTACTGCACCTGCAAGGCCGGGACTGCTTAACTCAGCTCTGGAGAGAGATGATGGTCTCGAGGAGACTTGTTGTTTCAAAGGACATTTGAACATAATTTAGACATTGCAAAGAACTGCAAAGAGCTTTGGTGAGGACCCATGTCTATCATAGACTGACGGCATGGGAACATTTGAGCATCGACTTCACCTAGAGCCAGGGTCTGAGATTGGAGAGTGACCCATGAGATCCAGCTGATCAATGTGTGTGTCTCAATATGCAAGAAGCGTAGTTGCATTCATTTCGGGGGGGCCCGGCTGTCAGCTGGTCATCAGCTGCATCACACGCTCTAAGTCTCGAGGACTTCAAAGTCACCACCGGCAAGTACGCTGCACATGACCATGAGTTGCACATGTGCCTGAAGCACATGTGCAAAGCCCTTTTCAAGCGATGGAAGATCTGTGTGGTATGCAGTCTGATAGAAGAAACCACATCTGCGGCCATGTATGTATGCACCAGATGGGACGCACGCACGTACTTCGGCTCCTACCTGTGCAGCTTCCCTCACCCGATCCTGGCAGCTGGACGATTTGCAACAGCCACCGTCCGACGAAGACGACGAGGCATCCAGCATCCTCCAGCTATTGATCCCTAGTAGCGTCCTTGTTCCTAGTAGCGATGCCAGCCCCTAGTAGCGTCCTTGTTCCTAGTAGCGATGCCAGGAGCCCCT